ACCTGTGGCTGGATATGAATCAGGAGTATTCCACCTTGCCTCTACAGGCAAGTACAATCAATATATTGACTATTCACTGCCTGATGCCGATCAAATTTTCAGCAACTCAGAATATGTTAGTCATTGTGATGATGCCTCCGTAACTCCCAATTTTGGGAACCTGGAACGCGCCGTATAAAGCCCCATGAAAGCTCCCAATCCCTCCGTCTCAGTCCTGCCATCAGCAGCCTTCGTTCATCATAGTCGTTCCGGACCTGCTGTCGGATGTGGAGAGGGGGTCTTCCAACCCACTCACTGTGGCGAGTATCCGATGAGACTTTATTTATTTATTTATTTATTTGTAATTCATCTGACATATGTGGTCTTAATGTATATGAGAATACATTTTCAAAACAGCTACAAAATTGACAAACTAGTAATTCTATTTTTTAAACGACCAGAAGTTTCGTCGAACTCAAAGAGATCCTCCACCACCGAAAAAGCTCGAATCATCGACGATATTGGTTCATTATATCCAAACAAAGTACGGTGAAATTTGTCCTGTAGTAGTGACCGCTGCCGAAGAGGACGTCGAGCAGCACGGAAGTCCAACATAGAAAGTAGCCGGGGAGAATTGACTTCACCATTTAGCAACTTCGCCACGAATGTCGCCTGTTGTAGTCTTCGCCTTCTTTCAAGGGTGTCCATGCCCAACATAATATGTTATGATGGTCAGTTATTGCCTCATGTATCTGTGATTTCCAGGGAGAGCAGTCGTTCGATTCCTTGCCGCAAGCAGGACGTCGTGATCTTGTACCAAAACGCCGGTATAATGAATTCTGATGTTGAAGAATACCGCCTAGCTGTATCGGATTGTTGCTACGAAGTAATTATCCTGTGCGAAACGTGGCTCGATTAGCGAACGCTTTCCAGTCAAGTCTTCGGTCCTGATTACGAGGTCTTTCGTTGCGATCGGAATCCTCCATTTCTGACTGTCACTTTCTTCAACGTCAGCTGAATGTATTCGCTAGTTGGTGCAGTTCAAACAGAATGGTAGTGAACCCAGCCAAATGATCCGCTATTACGTTCTCACAAAAACAACAACCGATAATACTTAGCTATGACCTGCTTGGCTCGACAATCGAACGCGTGAATCAGGTGAAAGACTTGGCTGTGATCTTGGATTCACAGCTTTCATTCAAGCAACACATTGCATATGTTGTTGATAAGGCGTCAAGAACTTTAGAGTTAATTTTTAGGATAGCTAAAAACTGCACTGATATCTACTGTCTAAAATCTCTCTATTGTTCGCTTGTTCGATCAACGCTTGAGTATTGTTCAGCGGTTTGGAGCCCAAACTACAACAACGGTGCCAAGAGAATTGGATCTGTTCAACGTCACTTTCTTCGTTTTGCGTAGAGTGCGAAGTTACGTAGTTACGAAAGCCGTTGTCAACTTATCGACCTAGAACTTCTCTGGACTAGACGAGGCATAAGTAGAACCCTAACAGTGGAACATATCCTGCAAGGAAAGACAGATTGCGAGGCTATCCTGAGGTAAATTGACCTGAATGTTCAACTCCGACTGCTTCGTAATAACCTTATGCTAAGACTGCCCTACGTCGCACAAATTATGGAGCATACGGTGCGATTTATGGACTGCAGAGAACATTCAACAGAGTTGCATCAGTTTTCGAGTTTCATCTCTCCCGTGATGCGTTTCATAGAAAGTTTTGTTCGGTTTTTTCCGGAAGGAGTAACTGACTATAAGATATATGTTTTTCAATGTTTTTTTTTTATGTTATGACCATGCTTGAATATATTTTTTTTACTATAGTTGATAAGGTTAACATCATGGAGGCTTCATCCAGTCTATTGATGTAAAACAACAATAAAACAATAAAACAATAAAACAATAAAACATATATATTAAGATAAACTCTGGGGGCGACCCCGGCGTAGTGGTTAACATCCATACCTCTCACGCCAAAGTGACGAGTTCAAATACCCAAGAGTGTTAGTGACTATAATAAAAAAAAAGATAAACTCTTTCATGCAGTAACTTAGAAACTTATGTGAATTCTCCTCGTGCTGAGTAATTATCATTTGAAAAAGACGTTTTTTAAAGTTAAATAATTAATATCGCATGATCATTAAGCTTTCAGCACTACTGACTTTGAAATTCGCTCAAGGTGAAGCTACACCAGTAGACCAATACTTGATTAATATTTTGGAGAGATGACATATGACATAAGAAAATAACATACTTTTGTATTTTGTACAAAGCGTGAGTACTCGTGTTATAAAAGTTGGCGCGAGTACTGAAAAGTTAAGATATATTAATTAGCTTTAGTGGGCAAAAATGTGTATTTTAAACAGTTCTAAAGCTTTCTTGAAAACGAGAAATTTGAAACAAGCTTTTTGCAAGCTCATTTTATACGCTTTTTGTTGCTCCACTCCTCTGACTAAAACACGGGTAGGACAGTAAATCAGATTAGCAACGCAGTACAAGTGCAATATCTTGGATTAGTACTTAACCAAAAATAAGCTTGTAAAGATCACATTGAGGGTATTCAAGCCAAATGTAACAAATATATTAAATGTTTGTATCCTATTATAAACAGGAAAGCCAAACTTTGCCTGACGAATAAACTTCTAATATTCAAACAAGTTTTAAGACCGGCCATGTTTTACGCTGTGCCAATATGGTCTAGTTGTTGCACTACCAGTAAAAGAGCACTTCAAATGATTCAGAACAAAGTTCTGAAGATGATTTTAAAGTTGCCTCCCTGGTACAGTACTACCGAGGTACTTATAATTTCGAATGTTGAGACTTTAGAACAAATATCCAACGAAATAATTAATGATTTCAGGCAAAAATCGATGCAATCCTCAATTGCAACGATTAATTCCCTTTATACTTAGATAAAATGTAGTATAAGCTTTTAGTGCTGATGCCAATTGTTATACATTCAGGTATAGAAAAGCTGTTTAAAATACTGAATTTCCAAGACAGGAACAATTTTAAAAACACTTAGATATATATCATAACAATTAAGGCTGGTAAGTTACTGTAGTAACTGGAGCACCTAGGTTAAAATAAAATGTAATTTATTTTGAATTTGGAACAATTAGCAACGCAGAAATGAAGCATTTTTCCTAGGTTTATGGAGAATTTCATCGATTCAATATTGCTTTTCTACAGCTGCCGCTGAAGACCTTGATGAACCTATAAGTTTCCATTTGAAATCATGCATCGTATGAATATTTGAAAGTTGTTTCTATGAATATGGAATTTATAAATAGAAAATCACGTTTGTTCGCTTAAAAATAAAATGTGGACATACAATGTCCATGATTTATCCGATATGTTCCATAAAATTGTCCTAACTATCATAATCCTAATGAATTATTTCCATTACAAATTAGTGACTTAAGCACCAACATCTTCAAAATGCTCAAACGTTTATGGATAAATATAGTAAGTCAAAGATATTAGAAAACCTTAAACAAACATAAAAATGATTGATCTTGATCTCTGGAATCGAAAAATGCCAACTGGGAAATCAATATTACATTTGTTTCCTGATCAAATTCTGATTCTGACATAGCAATGTCTCAAATTCTCTTTAAAAGCTCATAAATACACACATGATGCTGTTCTAATGTCTCACTCACTGAACTTCACCCGTTTAACGACCAGCCAAGAGGTGCCAAGAGAGCAGCAAAACAATCAAACCCTCCCCCGTTTACGAAGCAGCCGTCTAGTAGTCCTCACATGTCCCATCAGAACGCCAACTTCACCGCCCGTAGTAGCCGACGACGAACGACGGATGCCCCGACAATCAAAGGCCTCCAATTAGCAAACTATTAGACCATTCAGTCAAACTAATGACGCGCGCGCTGCCTGGTTATGTGCCGATCGCGCAAATCAGTCCCAGGAAAATATTCCAAACACTCCCTGAATCTTCGCGGGTCAATCAACCGCCCGAGCTGCTGCTGCTGCTGTTGATGATCATGATCATGATGACTTTACACACTATGCTCTGACTGGCCCTACAATATGCTGCGCTGCTATGGTTGTTGTTCTGGTCCGTGCGCCTCCGCCGAGCCACGGAGCATGAGCACCGAAAACTGAAAATAGCCCAAAAAGAGCCCAAAGCATACCAAAGAGAGCGCAACGCACCACCATCCCAGGCGATGGGAAGAAGAGTGGAGCAAAACGGTGGAAGAGGGAGAGGGGGGGGGGAGTATCCAGGAAGAACGAACGCACAACAGTAAGAAGCATAATTTGAAGCCTCTCCTAATTCTTGCACACTTATCATATTTTCTTCTGCTCGCTTCGCCTCCCGGGTGCACCTTCGTCTACTCCTTGAGCGAGCGGGAGAGCCTTGAAAATATTCTCATTATTCCATATTATGTTTGTTTACGCTCGTTGCGCTCTCACTGGGCAGCATTTGGTTTTCAAAAGAATTCTTCCATTCCATCATGGTTCGTGTCGTCGGAGATGAACTAATACTGCCGTACAATCGCTCAGCTCGCTTGATCGAACCGGACGGAGAGCGAAAGGGAGTCGATTTGCCGAGTGTGAGAGTCTGCCGAGCAGTGGATGATCATTGCTCATTCGCTCGTTCGCTTTGTGTGAGTTCGATTATTGTTATTAATTTTATAAGATTCTTGCGATCTCGGCGCGAGAGCGACTGATCATTTCATTCAACTCTGTGCTCGACTAGATCGGCGGGGGTGTCGAGGAGATGCGCTGCAGTGGGGATTAAAAGCTCTCTCTCGCTCTCTCGCTATGTTGGATGGTGGTGCTTGGGTGTGTTGGTGTTGATGATCGCGAGCAAGAAAGAGAGCCATCAGCAATGCAAAAGACCTGTCGGGCAGGTTTTTCCTGTGTTTCGTTGTAGTGGTATGGGTGCGGTGTGTGCAGTACCGGAGAGTGTGCTCTGGGCTGCTGAGGGTGAAGTCGAAACGATCCACCGAGCCAGCCGTACTCACCAGTCTTGCTGTAGATTTCGTTCCAAGTAGTCCACCTTTTCGTTCGCGCTTCGCGATTTGATCACTTGAACACTTGAGCACAGGGACAGTGCAGTTTCGTCCCCGTTGGTGTTTTGAGAAGCAGCGGCCGTGTCAAATAAATCAGTGAATCTGACTTGAAGTGTCGTTCGTCGTTCGGTAGTAAGGCTGCTGCGACGCGACGAAGAACTTCCCGAGAGTCCTCGGTGGATTGTTGTGTTTTTCTGTGCGGTGGATTACCGATTTTTTTTTCTCGAGGGGCCGGGAAGACACTGAACACTGATCGTGATCGTGTGTGGATTTGGCTTTTGTTTCGCTGTTTTTGTTTTTCGGCAAGTTCAGACCCCAGAGAACAATCAATTGCGAACTCAGCGACGAGGTTTTTGTGTGTGCAAAAATCGAAAGATCGTGAGTGAGAGTAGCTGAGAAGGGCGCAAACAGCGATGATAACAGTTAATTGTTGAAAATCTCAGTCCTCGGGTTAAGAAGATTTTGTTTTTTTTTTTCGTCTGTGTCTGCTCCTTCGGCGCAGAGGAGGATTATTTTTTCGGCAAAGGAAAGTGTAACACGAGATCCACCGTGGTGGAGAAGAGGTGGCGTACTTAAAAGTCGTTTAAAAATCCGCCACCTGAGGAGAGACAGTGCATACGGCGGCCGTAAGATAGACAGGCCGAGAGTTGAAAAGCAGCTTGAAAACTCGACGCGCAGATAAGGCGAGAGAAGCCAAAAACCGTCCAAGGCCCGTCGTCGCACTTCTTCTAGAGACCTGGAAGGCGCGCGCGAGCGATCGGACAGGCGAAAAAGGGCTTTCGAAACGGAGAGGCAACCGGACAGACGGACGAACGGAATAAAAAAAAAAATTATGAAAACGAGATAGTTTTAAAAGAGCTACTCCGGGACAGCGCGCACAAAACAGAGAGATGTTTTCGAAAAACGGCCGCCACCAAGGACCGGCGGAGGCGCGGTGACGTAAAGCCCAAGATCAACTCCGAACGACGGCCCCGAACTGAGGCTGCGGCCCAGCGAGCAAATGTGGTGTCTTTTATGAATAATTAAACATATGGAAAGTGTTGAGTGGAGCATTCGACGACGTAGACGACGCAGGCGACGACGACGGCCGACGGCAGCCGAACCGTAATTTGAGCACGCTTTGAACCGAAGAAATTGACGAAGAAAAGTTTCCATTTTTCTCGGTCGGTTGTTATTGTTGATACTTTTTTCAGTTTTTCAAGAAGAAATTCAAGTGTAGTTCAAGTACTTAAACTTGTACAATTTTGATCGCCCATCCACTGGGCTGAGTGTGGCAAGAAGACAACACAGGCCGGAGGAATTCGTTCTGCAGCAAGCGCGAAGAATCCCCCTCGAAAGGTGAAGTTCAAGCGAAGAAGAGATAAGCGAAATAAAAATTCTTGCCAAGAAGAAGTTGTGGGTGTAAGAAAAGATAAAAAGAGGAAAATAAGCTGAAAACAAACGTGAAACGAAGTTTTGCCCGAGAAGAAAAGAGCTCCGGAGAAACCTGGCATAAGAGAGAGAGGGAGAAAAGGTTAAAAGTTTGCTTGCAGAGGAAAAAAAAACGAAGCTGTAGTGAACCATAATTGCGATAGTAATAACCACAAAATTGTGATAATCTATATATGATCTTGAGGGCGAAGAGTGATCGTGAGCGAGAAGAATACACGAAGTAAGAGAAACGCTACGAAACGCGGGTAGAACAAGACGAAAAAGAATCCCTAATAATGTGTAATTTTTCAAAACATATCATAATAACACTCGGTACGAAAGTTTGCGACGGACCTACTAGAATCAGTCTCAATCGGCGACCAACGCTGGAACAGCAGCAGCAGCATCTTGTAGTGACCGTCCTATCCGCGTCAACAAGTGTGTAACAAGCGAAGAGATTTAATAGGATTGTAAAAAGTTTATCACTCGAATAAATCAATTATAAATCGAGACAGCAGCAGCAGCATCTTCGGGGCTGCTCTACGAGATCGTCTTAAGACTCGATCGGTTGTAGTCCGGGAACATCACCTCATAGGAACATAGGAGAAGAGTGCACAGAGCAAGAGCGAGGGCCGCGCAAAATGTTTGACGTTCGTACCGTAGAAGCTGGTGGAAGTTGTGATCAAGATCGTGATAGTGATACAATGTCAATCACCGCGAGACGACGACGTGCATTTCAGCGGCAGGCCTGTTTACTGAGCGTTATGGCTGCGTTTTCCCTGGGGCTGGCACTTGGCGTGTTTGTGCCACTAATTGGTATGTCACAGGCGGTGACGAAAGGATCGTCCGATGTCGGCAGTAGTAGTGGTGGCCATGGCGCTAGCATCGATGGTGATGAGTCAGGACCCTCCCCACTCGGACGATTCGAACATTTACCTCATAAGCTTCCGCACTTCCCAACGATAGACGATCTTCGGGGGAAGGACTCGTACAACTCGGTATCCTTCATAGCGGAAGAGAAGCTCAAAGCTGAAGACGTTTTTCGACATGCATTTCACATCGATCAACGGGACGACAAGGACACGATGATCATCAAAAAGTTCGATCCGGAAGATCGATACATTAAGGAGTACACTGTGCGCCGAACGGCGGATGGCTTGTTCCACAAAGGTCCCGAAAAAAAGCTATCCCAACCGTCGATCATCGAACAGATCCTATCCTCTGGCAAACCGGAGGACGGAAACCCGGACGAACCGGTGATCGATATAGTCAGTCAGAACTACGATGACCACGAAGATTCGGAAGATGCGGACGGTGTCATCCTGAATGACATCTACTGGGGATCATCGGTCGAAAATGCCCTTCCCCAAGGCTTCGGAAAACGGCAAAGTGACTCCTGGACCCGCTACCTGCAGAATGCGGAAGTCGATCACCTCGAAGTCGGCTGTGGACGGATGCAAAATCGAATGGTCGTCTTCCGGGATGGCACCCGAGCTTGCGCCCGATATCGGCAAAACACCGATCAAATTCAAGGTGAACTCTTTAGTTTCTACCTCGGCCAGCTCCTAAACATAACTAACCTCGCCCCGAGTGCAGCCTCCATCATCGATATGGAAACCAAACTGTGGTCCTCAGTCACGGACGATATTTCCAACTCTCAGTGGAAATCCACTAAACCGGTCGTCATAACCAAGTGGATTGGCAACCTCGAGCCAGCCGGCATTCCCAAACCGTTCCAACCTCTCGAAAGGCACCTCAACAAGCTGGACATCAAGAACATCACCGAAGGTCTGGATCTGCCAAAACCTACAAAAACCCTACTCGATCACCTCGGTGCCACTCAACCACCGGAGCTACAACCCATCCGACCACCGGGAGCTCCCATCGGCGACTCCGTCCTCAAACGGCTAGTCGAACTAGCCCAATGGTCGGACCTGATTGTCTTCGATTACCTGATCGCCAACCTAGATCGAGTTGTCAACAATCTGTACAACTTCCAGTGGAATGCCGACATAATGGCCGCTCCGGCACACAATCTAGCCCGTCAGAGCGAATCGCAGCTGCTGGTCTTTCTAGACAACGAGTCCGGTCTGCTGCACGGCTACCGGTTACTCAAGAAGTACGAAGCCTACCACGGGCTGCTACTTGATAACCTGTGCGTGTTTCGGCGATCGACGATCGCAGCCCTGCAGCACCTGCGGGACAACAACGTTGGCCGGCGGCTGAACGAGCTGTTCGAGCGGACCACCACGGCCAAGATACGGGACGTGCTGCCACCGCTGCCGGAGAAATCCATCAAGATACTAGTCGATAGGATTGATCGAGTGTTAGGTCAAGTGCAAAAATGTCGTGAAATTTTCTCCAACCGATAGCCCGCGCTCGGAACGGCAACAACAATGACGACGACGACGACGACGGGAAGGAATCGCTGGTGAACAAAAAAAAAGTACGCTGGTCGTGTTCAGGAAAGTTTCTGTAGCTGCGGGATCTCCTTCGACTTAATCAACTGCGGCGGCGGCACCGGAGTGCGGCAGTCGGGAGAAAGCATCGTTTGTTTAGTGAGCTGTTTTGTTGTTTCGTTTATACACTTTTTTTTTGTTTATTTGTTGCCGTGCTTCGACTCCTACAACCAACGTTCTGTGGGATGTGCTGCTGTCCCCGCTCGCTTGCTTGCACATTTCGGTCCGGATCCCAGCAGAACCAAATAGAGAGAAGGAGACAGAGAGGGACAAGGAGGCCCCCAGCGGAGTGTGTCCAGGTGACCTCGTGGAATCGGTATTGTGTTTGCCTGTAAGTTTTTGTTTGTTGTTGTTGTTGTTGTTGTTGGTTTTTGTCTGAGCCGTCCGAGATTTAGGGGACTTATCGTGATTTCGAGCGCTCGCAAAGAATCGCGGAAAATCCCAATGGTAAAGTCATCTCCGGTAGAAGCAAGCGGAGAAGGTAGCCAGAAAGAGAGAGAGGGAGGGCAGAGAGAGAGAGAGAGATTGAAAGACAATATAAAATAGTTTAGCCAGGATGGAAGAAAGCAAAACGATGAGCATGTGTATGAAATATTGTAAAATTTATAGATATTATTCCTAGCAGGGAGGGAAAATAGACGAAGGCGCCAATAATTGGCGATGACGACGACGACGACGAAGGCTTCGACGACGTTTGGTGTGCGGGTTCCAACAACCTCTTGGGCTCTTGGTCTGGGCTTCTGTGGTGGCTGATGGGAAGGTATTGCTGCCTGCTTCGGCGTTTAAAGGGTAGGGAATTTTGCGCAGCTGTGCCATTTGGACGGACCTGCGCCGCATGACGAGATCGATTTGTGTCTGTGGCTGAGGGATTTTCGATTGCATTGTTTGGATTGTTGGGATGAGCGATGATTAGCCATAATTTTCGACGGCACAAGGTGCGTTTTTTGGTTGACTGTGGGCCCTGCCGGATTGGTTCCCACAACCCCATTTTGGGGAACGTAATTGAAAATTGGTGAATTGGAGGTCAAATGGATTTGAATGCCAAACAGACACGGTGCAGACGTTTGACGGATTGTTGATTTTAAAGTTGAGATTTTCTCTCGTATTATATTGAGGGATTAGGCAAGTTTCAGTGGCTTGGGAGCGATTGAACAAAACGTAAATCATGTTTAACCACTTTGTTAACGTACATGCAGGATGTAGTAGTTGATAGATGAGAGTTATTTTCCCCATAACGTTTTTTTTTTCAGCTTTGTGATTAAACATATGGTCTTAACCCTTTCCATTTCGAATTCAATCCTCGACAGTTTAAGAATTATTTGTTTTGATTTTTTCACTATACTTCTATGACAATTTCAAGTTTAGCTACTGAGTTTAATTGAAATCTGCTTCTCCAACGCAGCTCAAAAACGATCATTAAAAGATTTAGAAGCTCATACACAACTGATCCAGTTTGTGTCCGATCCGGAAAATCTGACAACTAGCCCGTGGATTATCTGTCAAATTTGCCGGATCGGATCCAAACTGGATCAATGGATCACATCATTCGAACAGTTTAAAATGACGTTTCCTACCACTCGAATTTTGCCGAGGAACAATATTTAGATTCTTTTTCTTCTAAAACCTCGAGAAAATAGGGTGCTATTTTTGCTTGTATTGAAAGTTTATAGCTTCATTTCCTAAAAATCCTTGTACAAGCATCCCAAAACTACTCAACAATATGAAAAATTGTGCGTGGGCCTTAAGAATGGCGATCAAATGCTACACTGAACCAAGTTCTTATTCTATGATAGATTTAAACTGATTTGGTTGGGTTTGTGAACAATTTTTTTTTTACAGTCACTTTAACGCTCTTTTTTAACGGTCATTTGTGACTTGTCCGGGGTGAGATTTGAACTCGTGACTTTGGCGTGAGAGGTATGGATGCTAACCACTACACCGGGGTCGCCTTCTCTATGAACAATTCTAACAAACAATTTATGATGATTAAATGTCAATTTTAGTTGCATTAGTCATTTTTTGCCAGAACAAGCTACCCAACAAACAATTTGAACTGATTAAAAGCTTAATAAACTAAAACATTGCTGAAGAAGCTAAATGTAGCCTGAACAAGCTCTTATTCAGTTTTCAATGTTTGTTGGGTATTGCGCACCTTTGTTTGTTTTTTGGGGGAAGTTGCTATTGAACTCTTTATCAGATGATTAACATTCATAAGACTATGATCCCAAAAAAATATTGTGTTCGTTTTAGAAATATGTAAAACACACAAAGATGATATTCATTTAGCATTTGACGAGTTTTAATTTGTGATAAACTGAGATTTAAGGTATTTATAGTGCCACACAGTTTTACTCCTTCCACACGTTGGTCTAGCACTAAAACTATTTCTGATAGCGTTGACTATGATCTTCCTGAAAATTCTTCTTCCGAGGAATGTTCAAGTCCAGGCTGTGGAACTTTGGCACGGCATAGTTTTCCGGGAAATGTATTGCTCATCCTACTGATATGATTTTCACATGATTTGTAGGGGGCCGCCAGCTCAGATACATCAGTTATATCCTTCTTAATAATTTGAAATTAATCGTGGGTTAGTTTTGTATTTGTATCGAACACTAAAGCTTTGCAAAGTTGAAACAATAAACCATACAAGAAATTACAGATTACAGAAGATCATTAGGGCAGTTGGGCCGGTAGTGTGGTCAAAAACTCTAGAGCCGTGGGTATATTTTCTATAACCCTACGGCCTTCGACAAAAATGCTCGGCTTACAAAGCACCAACTTTTTAAGGGCCTTTTAAGGTCAATCGGTAAAGGCGCAGCTACAAAGCAAGACCATGCTGGAGGTGACTGGGTACAATTACCGGTCCGGTTTAAGGTTTTTCGGGTTGAAAAATTTCTCGACTTCCCTGGGCGTAGGGTATGATTGAACTTGTCACACAATTATACCAATGCAAAAATGGTACAGGCATCGAAAGCTCTCAATTAATAACTGTGGAAGTGCATCTTGAACACTAAGTTGAGCGCACGCAATAAGATAATATGCGATACGCAATAAGCTGTAAAAACGAAAAAGTAGAAGAAGAACTTTTAAAGGTTTCTGTTAAGTTTTTGTCCCACCGCCTAAAATGCACTCGATTTTACATTTTTAACAGATCGTTTCTTGGGTAAAGTTGTGAATTTCATAATATTGAGTAATGCTGCAGGATTTCAATACATTGGAGTTGGGATAAGGTGGAGCAACCAGGTGATTCTGAACTTTTAATAAGTAATTCAATATTTTCCTGGAGTTATTAAGTTCTTTGCTGAACTCGGTCCTGCTACTGTGTGTTGCAATACTTTCTAAGCGATTCCATATTTAGGCCGATAGTGTTTTTAAGTGATTCATAACTTTTCTAGTCACTTCATATTCAATTTAATCAAAAAATTTCAGTTCTATTCACTTCACTTCACCAAACTTTCCAGGTGTTATTAAGTTTAAAAGCATTTCAGTTTGAATTCCCTTACTTTTCAAGTGATGCACAAATTTTCAGGTTTGATTCACTTCAAATTCAAATGGTCTGGTTAACTTCATATTCAAGTGATTCTAAGTCTTTTCAGGGCTTATTTACTTCATATTTAAGTGATTCCAAAATGTTGAGGACTGATTCAGTTGTGAAACTTCACAGATCCGGTAAATTTCACATTTTTGCATGAACGCTAGTGCCACATAGTGATATAATCCCGCAGCACTATCCGTTCAGTCATGACCTTCTGAACAACTCTGCTCCTTCCAATCGAAATTGTCACCCATTAACCGCGAGTCTGCCATGAGCAATTGGTACCCAATACTAACCTAGAACTACTGCTGTTTAAAATGTAAATTCAATCATTACTGCTTTTTGGATCCGCAAAGTGTCACACACGACTGAGCCTACTAATTAAACGAACAAGTTAAAAAAAAAAACTTTGCTGAAGATTCGGATTTCTAGGTGGTCGGGATCACGAGATAAAACAACTAAAAAATGCTCAATTTTGCTTACACACTAGCGCCACATAGTTATATAATTCCGAAACGAGTTAAGCACTCAGTCATGACAAACTTTGCAGAAGACTCGAACTTTCTAGGTGGTCGGGATCACGAAATAACATAATTACTAAAATGCTCAATTTTGCATACACACTAGCGGCAGGTAGTGACAGAATTTCGTACAATACCAACCATCTATCGGATGCCCTTGGTCTTCTTAACAACTTAGCTGAAGACTTAAACTTTCTATCAGGTCGGAATCGTGAGATAAAATAATTTCAAAAAAGCACGATTTTGCATGCACGATAGCGCCACGTAGTGATATAATTCCGAACCAAACTGTCCACCTTCTAAGCACTCTTGGTCTTGTGAACAACTTTGCTCAAGAGTTGAACTTTCTAGGAAAATGCTCATAGGGAGAGAATTCCAAACTATACCGACCATCTTCCGGACGCCCTCAGTTTTCAGAACTACTTTGCTCAAGATAAGAACTTTTTTGAATCCAAAAATCCTCAATTCAACAAGCACACTGGTGCCTAGCGCCACATAGTGCCAGAGTTCCAAAAAAAAACTTTTTTTTTAATTTCTGGATGCCCTTGGCATTTTGAATAACTTTGTTGAAGACAGCATCACCTTGTTATATTATTAGGATTTCAATATATAGGAATTTGGTTATAGTGTGTTGGGTGCCGTATACTTTGTTTCGGAGAAGGCTTTCTTTTAGTTCAGATCGGTAATCGAACTATTGAGGGCTTCGAAAAGTAACCTCCTGTTTGGACCGACAGACTATCAGAGTTAGCTCTCAGTCGAGGATTGTCATTTATTAAAAATAAACATTCATTTATATATGTTTTTACAGTTTGGTCTTACTATTTTACTATCGGTTTACTATCGGCAAAAACGTTCTTGACTGCTGTGTCAGAATTTCGGCGGACTATTCGATCTGTTGAGTTGTGTAATATGACGCCACCCGTTCGAATGGAGAAGGAAAATAGCGCTTATCGGTGTGTGGTATTGCAGTGTCACATATGGTTGCAATTGAATAATTTCCTAATTTCGGTTACTGTTCATTTTTGAGGCGGATGGCCTGTATAACTGGTTGTTGATGTTTGGTGTAGATTGATATGGATCGACAGTGGGTCTCAAATTAAATATTACTACAATATTATAAAATTATATTGCCCATAAAAGCATATCAGTTCCATTTGAAAAAAAAAACAAGCCGGGAAAATGTATCTATCCGATGACTCAAGTTTTGGTATTTTTCACCTTATTTTCTACACAAAACAATTGAATTTTAGTACACTGTTTAATATAAAAACTACAATCGATTCTAATGGATAACTCATTTCTGATAAAATATCCATATGGGACTGTTATGCTTTCATGGGCAGTATATACGAAAGATACTTTTTAGGATGTGATGCAACATTTAAATGAGTGTTGCAATACATTCCGGAGCGATTCCATACCCATGACTGATAGTGTAATCTTTGTTATTTCATGTGTGCTAGAATTTGAAAATTGATATCAAATCAAAAGGGGCCCCGCATTAAAAAATAGACCAAGGGCTCCACGGGCTGTGACGGCCCTGTCATAAAGTACAAACATTTGAATTGTTTTCAAGACAAAACGACGAAAACTCTACCAGTTGAAGTCCAACGGCTGAAAGCGTTTGGAAATTAATTTTGAAGCCCGTAGGCTTTAAAATGAAGGTCAAAGTTTGAAGAAACATTTTTCCCTGAATTGCAAAACTTTTGGAATTTCTGTTGTGAAATATATCAAGGTTGGTAATCATTTCAAAGCGTCTGCTTTTTGTTGGTCCTGAACTGTCCTGATAGATGCAGAAGCAAAAATCCCCACGTTTTGTGTCGAATTATCAAAAGATAGTTCTTTCTAGGGTCAGCTTACCCCTGACGCACCGTCAAAACAGGTACCTACTCGTTGTTTCTTGTACGCTATTTCAGATTATACCTGAATATCAGTGTTTTGTTTTCATATTTTCGACGACATTTACTAATGATCTACTGTGGTGTATCCTCCTTTTGCTGTTTGCCGTTTTGATGAGAAACGAGTAAAGTAGCTGGGGCCTCCCTTAGTTCAGTCGGTAAAGGCGCAGCTACAAAGCAAAACCATGCTGGAGGTGGCTGGGTTAAGTTCCCGGTCCGGTCTAGGAATGTTTCGGGTTGGAAATTTTCTCGA